TAATATGCGAAAACTTTATAACCCAATTTAAAACAGTGTTTTAATTTTACTTTTTTCGCAAAACGTTGAAAATGCTGCTGTAGCAGCCGAGCAGGATTTTTGTGCCGCTTTTTAAAAAATTAACTGTCAACTTGTACTTGTTGATGGGTGCACCCGGGATGGCCAGGTTGTCCCAATTCGCCGCGTCGAAGTTTTCGATGAGGTAAATCCCCTGTGATCGAGCAATGAGCATATTTGAAAGATTCCATGTAACATTTTATGTTCCAATTTACCGGTTTTAATGGACAGTCGGGGCTCGTCTTAATTTCTTTGGTCAAGGCGATCCATACAGGTCCGAGAACCCGCTGGAACGCTGTACAACCGTCCTCTCTTGCGAAGTCCACTCCAGAGCCGGACTTCCATCCGCCGTTGCCCCATATTTGCAACTTTACGTGTACCTGAATAATATTTCTATATTTTACCCGACCAGTCGAAATAAGGAAATGTTAGAATATGACAGTCCAATCGAGTCTGTTGTCGTACTGCATAAATAACAGCACAAAAGACGGTACGACCAGTGTAAGTCTTTAAATAAAACAGACGAGAACTGTGATTTGCTCTGGAATTGTGTAGTGAGTTTTCCAATAAATGGAATTGTACATTTATTGCAGGGTTAAAAGTTGTTTTTTCTTTTACCCAGATTGCTTAAAATCTACTGGAGCGAAACTTACCGCTACGTTATTGTCGAATGGAACTTTGAACGTCAAGTTGCCTTTCATGCTCATGTGATTCCTGTCTTTTTTAGACAGTCGGAAGTTAACCTGCAAATCATTTGTCCCCTTATTCGCGCATGTGAGGATCGCTTCGTGGACCACCTTAAATTTCAACTTGAAACAAAACAATTCAAGGGTTAATTAACGTTGAGAATATCGAAAGGGGCGCTTGACTTACCGCAAAACCGTTGTCGCACTTGGCTTTTTCTGAAGAAAGGAGTACGAACAACCATAAAAGAAGGATCGTCCGCATCATCGTAATATCTGTGCGGAATCGGCTCAACATGGGCTTTTAATAAACGCGATAAAATCTGCGATTTTTAACTGTTTCCTTCCATTAGTCGATAAACGAAACGGAAGTGAATACATTACGTTCCATCACGGATGACGAGATAACTTTTATCGTTTGCTCCTTCCATTGGATAAAATAATTGCCTTTATTGAAGCGAAACAAGACCCAAAATAAATTCGGGTTTTGATTTTTATGCAAAACATAGGCTACTTAAAAAAATTTTAAACCAATAAACAAATAATTTAAAAAACATTTAAGCAGTTCAGGACCACCTGTTTAGAGGTAGTTAGAGTTTAAAAAACAAGTCTTTCTTCATCCCAGGAAATGGGTTATGCCGTTGAAGGCTGCATTGTTTCTTTTCATGGTCTTACTCTAATTGCTTCTTGTCGTAATGTCACCAATTGAGATGCCAGAGTGGGTGCCCATTCTTAATTTGTGCAGTTTGTAGAGCGAATGTTCCATTAAACGCCCATGGAGAAAGTATCTTTGCTCCTACGCAACTTTTACCTTTTAAATTGAGGCTGTCGTAAATCAACTACCTCGGAAAAACCAAACAACAAAGTTTGTGTGTAGTTGAGTCGTTTCGATCATTTTGTTATTGGCTTGTTAGACGCGGATTGACATTTCACCATCTTTTGTGCAGGGTTTGCATTTTCGAAGCACAAGAAAGTTCGCAGTACGCAGGCCAACTACCTCTCTCTATTTTTCTCTCTCTCTCTCTCTCTCTCTCACTCTCTCNGTATATATATTTCCTTTACACACTTTCTAACATACTATAAAAACATACTATAAATCTAATTGAAATGTCTGCCATTTCCCTCCGTTTCACTCTCTCTCTCTCTCTCTCTCTCTCTCTCTCTCTCTCTCTCTCTCTCTCTCTCTCTCTCTCTCTCTCTCTCTGTCTCTCTCTCCTGTATCTCACCTTTTCTAAAATCAATTTTTCTAAAACACACAAACACACACATAACACACTTCTTCATTTAAGTCACATGTCCTTTTTTTCTCGACAGATTTCTCTTTGACCTTTTATATAATATATCTTTGTTTCTCTTATAAATTTATTATTGTTATATTATTTATTTCATTTTCGAAGGACAAGAAAGTACGCAGACCAACTACTTCTCTCTCTCTCTTTCTCTCTCTCTCATTTTCTCTCTTTTTGTCTATTTATCCATATATTTTCTACCTATCTCACTATCTATCTTTTAATTTATCTATCGCTTACTCTATGACTCATATTTTGAAATAAATCTTACAAATGTGTAGCCTGAGGAAGCATTTACCTTTCGACTATCGGTATTTTTAAAAGGAGTATAATTGTAAGCAAAAATGATCAATCATGGCGTGATAAATAAAAATGTTTCTAATTAAACATTATGTAAATCTATCAAATCATGTAATTTCTTGTTTATTTGAATTTTTTTAAACATTTTACGTTTTAACAAGAATAATCATAAATTTTAGTTAACAAAACGAATACGAGAAATATTAAGTTGTTACAAAAGACCTTGCGTAATATGATCAATCGTTAGATGTTCGACGATGGAGTTATAACACGCTTGAGACAAACGCAAATTGTTGCAATTTATATAATTAAGGTTACGCAAATTCTATAATATCTCCTTATTACAGTTGTTCAAATTCGGGTATTTTACTTTTAAAATTCTTTATACTTTTGTGCATAAAGCTTCGAATGAGTAACCCTCGCTTGTACCCATACTATACCTCATAGCAATTCTACCAATATTAACGTATGCTGCTCCAGTTTGGATAGAAGCGCTAAACCTTGAATACAACATACCGGCTAAGAAGGATCCAGAGACAGATGCTACTCAGAGCAATAAAAGGATACCGGACAATCTCGTTCTTGACCACACGTATCATAGCTGGGGAACTCCCTATAGATTTAAAGCTTAGAGAAATGGCAAAGATCAGCAACGACATACGCAAAGGGAGATCTGAGAAGAACATCACATCGAATTTGAAATCCCAACGTGCAAAAGAATACGCCCAGCAGAAGACAGAAGTTGTTTTTCATTTGAAGAAGACACCAGTAGTGTACAATCTGGAGAGCAAGCCTACAAGGTGTACACTGATGGTAGTAAAACAGAACGAGGTGTAGGAAGTGCAGTAGTGGTGTACGGGCCTAAATCAAGAAGATCCAGTGTACATACAGAAATCTAAACTTGCTGACTGGTGCAGCAATAATCAGGCCGAGCTGCTTGAATTATGTAAAACATTGGAATGGGCCAAGTAAGAAGAACTATGCAGGCAACCGCAAATAAAAACGCTGCGAATTTATTCAGATAGAAAAGTGGCAATAGCCCAGCTCCGCTATCGTCGAAAGCATCTACCAGCTATTGAGAAAATCAAAACTTCGAGCAGAAACCTACAAGGATGGAAAATAAAATTACGTTGGGTAAAAGTTCACGCTGGTCAAGAAGGTAATAAAGAAGCAGACCGGTACGCGAAAGAAGCGGCAGCAGATAAATCCCTACCACTGGAATTCCGGGGCGTATCTAGATCAGAATCAGATCGGAAGCGAAAAAGAAGGGCCACGAATCATGTCGGAAGCAACAGCAGCTTAGTCATACTAAAATATTTTTTGACAACATCACAGCTCACCAGGATTTAGTCTTCACCGACTCCTACAAATTACCCAGGTCTTAAGTGTGCACGCAAAAAAAGCTGTATACCTAAAACGCTCCAACCTCAAGGCGAACCTGTTCCTGTAATGCTGCGGTACCGCAAACTTGGGAACACCTGTGCTTGACTGTGATATAATTATAATTTGCATCTGATACTTGTAAAAACCTGAATGGACGATGTAATCTTTAAAAACCTGTAATCTTAATCGGGGGCAGGTGGAAATATATTCCCTCTCGCAAGGGTTACTCGCGAGAGGAAAAAACTATACCTCATTATACCTCATAGCCTCGAGGTACCCACTGCTTTCACTGTTTCTTCAATAAAATCATTTGCATTTCGGCACTCTGTTTGACTTGAACATCTTCAAGGCGTGTCCTTAAGTTCTTCCATACATTGACGATTCTGGTTTTCACGCCGTTCATCGTGTGTTCCCTTAAATTGATAACCTGAAGGAGCAAGGTCAGGACTACAGCAAGGTGGCTACAGTGAATATCCATTCTATCCATTTCAGAATGTAAATATGTATAATGGGGCATTACAAAATGGTACATGGTAAAGCATATTACATATGTAATAATAATACATTAAATATAATAAATAACAAATAATATTTCAAGAGGGAGTGGGAAATCAATTCACCAAACTAACTAGAAAATTGATTAATCTTTATATAAGGTATTTGTTGATATAAAAAAGGAAAATGGGAAAAAGGAGGGAAAATTCGAAAGGTGGGTTGAAATGGGAAGTTGGTGTCCGAGCGGATCGAAGTGACGATAGCTCAAGTGGTAGAGCAGCGGCGTATTAAGCCGAAGGTCTTGGGTTCGAATCCCGCTCGTGACACTGACTTTTTTATCTCAACCAATACCTTACATAATGATCAATTAATTAAAAGACGTTATTTGGTCTATCGGACCACGAACTCTGATGGATCTAACTAGAAAAGTTGAAAATGATATTAGTACTAGCTAGACTACTTTCTCAATATATTATGATGTGAAAATACTAGAGTCTAACAGTTTTTAATAAACTTTGTTCATTTAAATGCGTGATAGTAAGTATATTTACTATAACCATTATATTTAGTGGTCTATTGACACAATTACTTCTTTCAATTAATTAATCCTTTTATGTAAGGTTTTGGTTGAAATGAAAAAGCTATTATTATTATTATATTATGGTCACGGGCGGGATTCGAACCCACGATCTTCGGCGCAATACGCAGCTGCTCTACTACTTGAGCAATGGTGACTTTGATCTACTCGGACACCAACTTCCCATCTCAACCTACACCCTATCGAATTTTCCCTCCTTTTTGCCATTTTTCAAATGTCGTGTAATCAGGATTCGGCGACAAATGATATGGCCATAGAGAGCTGTTAGAGAATTTTACCTCGTTTTACTTAATAAATCCATTACATTTAGTGGTCTATTGACCAACATTTACTAAGTTTAATTAGGTTAATATATTAATCCTTCTGATTCTGCTTGTTTTTTTTTAAACTTGTGTCGGTACCAGATTTACCACACAGAAGGGAAAAAGCGAATCCTGTTGATTGCTAGGAAAAAGGAAAAGGCCTTCATCATTCCTTGACTGTAGAATTAAAAAGAGTATCGGACGTTAAAGCGTTTTCGGCTTATTAGTGCCGGTATCCACGGGGGACAGTTTCACTTTTAATTGTTCGGAAAGTGGAAGATAGTCACAGTTGTCGCGGAGAGTAACAAAGAGTGAAAAAAAGCTTTCACGAATCGGTTAACAAGTTAAAAAGTACCTAAACACCACAGCCTCAACCGTTTGGTGGTCAATGATTTTTTTTTTTTTTTTGTAATTTGGTCGTTTCCGATCACATTGGTCTACTAACCCTGCTGGGTCGGTATGAGACGCGTTTCGGCATCTCGCCATCATCGGGTTGGTATTCCAGGTGATACCGACCAAACGAATATATACAAACCACAATCATCGGGAACGGAAAGTTCATCACCCCGCAGACTACACGGAGAAATGATTTTTTTGTTCCTCTCTAGTGTTTTTTTTTTTTTTTTCTAAATCTATCTAAATATATCTAAATCACATTCAATAGTAAATGCAGATGGGGAAAATAGCATTTTCAATGAGGTCTTCGGCCTGTAAATGGATTTTTTACGGAGGTCGTGAAACCCAAACGAAAGGCTCTATTGGGAAATCACACAGCACGCTTGTTATTGCAAGGACCAGAGGAAAAGCATCAAGCAACATATCTTAATTTGTTACAATATTAGAATTGAATCATAACTCAATTAATAATAATAATCTTTGTTCACGGCTTTAGCCATTTTACATCACATAGAAAT